TGCCGCGAGCCGCTGACGAGGGCACAATGGCACCGGGGTTTCGCCGCAGGGAGGACGCCTGCGTGGAGGAGTCTGAATCCAGCTGCCAGCACGCGGGAAGCTCAGGGTGCAGGCACAGAGGGACACACTGACCTCACAGGAGGGGACAACAGCAACCCCAGCACGGTCCCAGCCAGGCGCCCTGGCCCCTCGGCAGCCACACTGCAAGGAGCAGACGGCGATGGGAGGCTGGGAGGCCCACGGTCTCTGACTTAGGGTTTTCGCTGCTTCTGCTTCTCACAGCGCGTGCAGGGAGAAAATGAAGAGACGAAGGGGACCAGCAGCTGCTCCGGGAAGGCAGTGAGGGGCCGTGCTTTGCTGGGGCGCACTGGGGGCTGTTCCAGAACCGTCAAGTTCAAGGCCTTGAAGGCTACGTGATGGGCTACAAGGAGCCACACCTCACAGCAAATCAGTAAGCCTCGAGGAAACCCAGCAGAAACAGCATCTTAAACCTCCCCTCGAGACAGCAAGCCCTTCGGCTCTAACCGCCCACCGTGTGTCCTTACTTTCAGGGGTCCAGTCCTGCCTCGTCTGTGAACTACGCACTGCAGGCCTCCCAGGCAGCATCCAGACCAGGCCGGAAGAGCCCAGTCCCTGCAGAGCAGCAGTGCCTGGTGGTGGCACAGACCTGGCCCAGCGTGCCCAGCTCGAACGCTGGCCAGGGCCCTCGTGACACCTTGAGCATCGAGACTTCCTTATTTCTGAGACCCACCTGGAAACTCCCCAACCCCACCGACCGTTCAAACGTGCACGTCTGAAAAGCTGTTTGTTTAGGTTCTCGGCCTGCATTGCTAACCTGGGCTACACCAGGATGGACTTCTCTGAGCCTCTTAGGTGCCAGACTGCCAAGAGCCCAGGCTCTGTCCCCACCCAAGCACCTTCCAAATCGTACAACTCCCCGAGTCAGTGCTGGCACGTGGGCAGGTGAGCCCAGCACTGAGTGGCTTTGGGCGTCTGAAAAGCTGTTTGTTTAGGTTCTCGGCCTGCATTGCTAACCTGGGCTACACCAGGATGGACTTCTCTGAGCCTCTTAGGTGCCAGACTGCCAAGAGCCCAGGCTCTGTCCCCACCCAAGCACCTTCCAAATCGTACAACTCCCCGAGTCAGTGCTGGCACGTGGGCAGGTGAGCCCAGCACTGAGTGGCTTTGGGCCGACTGCTGCAGCCGGGTCCGCCTCCACACCGACAAGCAGGGAAAGGTCGGGCAGTGTGCACCAGGAAGAGGCTGTCACGGCACCGAGAACAAGACAGAGCTGCCGAAGCAGGCAGTGACGGGCCCCAGAATCCAGCCTGCCCAGGCAACAGACCCCGTTAACTCCTGAGACTCCAGAAAGACCTCTCCCCAGGAGCAAAGACCACACGCCAACCACGTCTTCGGGGAAGCCAGGGCACAGGCTGGGTACTGCTGAGTTAGAGGGGCTTAAGAAACACCAGTTCCCTTCTACCCTTACCAACAAGGTGAAAAACAGCCTGCAAATTTCAAGACGGTCAGCTGGTAACTGAACTGCTGGCTGAAACAAACGCAGCACTCTGGCAAAAAGGTGACAGGATCCAGGCTCTCACGTAACACACGCTGCCCGACACCCAGGCAGCAAGCCATAGGAGTGAAGCGCGGGGACCCGCGAGGCAGAGTTGAAAGGGGAAGCAGCCAGCGGAGACCGGCCTGACGTGGCCTAGGGGTCAGACGTGACAACAACTTTAAGAAGCATCTGTAATAAGTATGTGTAAAGAGTTAAGGGAAAAATATGTTCTTAAAAGCTAAGCAGACAGGGAACCTGAACAAATAATTTGAAATTATAGAAAAGAACCAAAGAGAAAAATGCTAGAATTGCAAAATGCTTGTGCGGATGAGCCCCCACTGGACAGGCTTGGCGGCTGCCTGGAGGAGGCGGAGCTCCATCAGGGAGCGTGAGCAGGTCGGTAAAAACTACTCAGGCCAAAGAACAGAGGAGACTGAGGTTGGCGCACCGCGGCTGGAAGGCTGCCGGCAGTGACTGCGCCAACGGCGTGCGGAGGGAGCCCAGCTAGAGCGGGAACGGGACTCCGCGGAAGGAGTGAAAGCGCCGGACTGGGTGACGGTGACCCCACAGACCGTCTTCGTGAGTTACTCTCAGGACTGCCGGTCTAAAGCAATGACACGTTAACTGGGCTCCGTGCTCAGAGTGAAGGGCGTGTCGGGGCAAGCCCTGACGAAGCAGGGGGCCCTCCGCCTGCAGGGCTCGCGCCGCGTGACTTCGCAGTGAGCACGGGCACCGTGAAGGCCACGCACCTGACCGTTGTCATTCCCTTCCTCATTCCAAGTCGGCCCCAACCCCATCACAGGACGCTGCAGGGACCAGAGTCCCACATGAGGACACGTTTAGCCCAGCGGTGACCACAGAAAGTCAATCTGAGCTTCAGGTACCGAATGTACAGCAAACACGCCAAGGGGGGACAAGCCGAAAGGCCACGGGAGAAAGCTCACTGTGTCTCTGTCCCCGAAGGAAGGTCCAAGATACCCCCAAAGCCCCTGGCAGCCCTCGAGCCCACTGTGCCACTGTACCTCTGTCCCTGACCCCGGTCCTGGACAGTCCACTTTCCTCTTCTTCCTCGGCCCGATGGCTGCGAGTGCTGTGAGGTTGGCGTCCCGCTGCCTCATCTGTGCCAGCTCCTGCTGCTGCATCTTTCATTTTGAAAGAGAGAAAAGGGGTTTCAATCCTTACCTATTCTTTACTCACTTCAAAAGTAGTACACGGAGGGACCAGCAGATGGCGTAACGGCTATGTCACTGCACTCCCGTGTAGCCGACCGCAGTTTAAGTCCCGGACTCGGTGGTTTAAACTCACTCCGGGCACACGTTGCGTGAGTGTGTGTGTGCCCAAGATCCCGAGAGGAGAATGGAGGAGAAGGGATTGCGAAGTGGCCATCCCCCTGGGCGGAGATTTCTCGCTTTGTCTCTGTCTCTGTCTTTCTGGTAAGCGCACGCGCCCTATAGCGAAACCCCCCCCCCAAAAAAAATATACAGTACATGGACATCAGAGAGCTTCCTAAAGTTTCTAAATGACCATCTCTCTGATGTCTGCCTTGACAGTAAGCATGTCCTACAATCAGAGAAATAATAGGAATTTTTTTTTTTCTGGAGAGGTTTTTGCTATAGGGCACATGCACTCGCCAGACAGACAGAGAGAGACAGAGAGACAGAAAGCGAGAAATCACCCCCCACGGGGGATGGTCACGCCGCAATTCCTTCTCCTCCATTCTCCTCTCGGGATCTTGGGCACGCACACACACGCGCCCGGCGTGAGTTTAAGCCACCAGGTCCGGGACTCGAACCATGGTCGACTACGTGGGAGTCCAGCGACATAGCCATTACGCCAACTGCTGGCTCCCAATAATAGGAATTTTTTAAGGTGACAGATGCTCACCTACGACATTCAGAATATGTGAACAAGTTCCAAGTACAGACACTAAATACCAACCAAAGAGAAGTCCCGGTCACATGCAAACAGGTTAAACCCGCACCGGAAAACGCCGATGCAGTGTCCAGAACCTCCACAAACACGCGTGCACACAACACGAGACGCATCCTCGCCCTCGCTGGGCGTGCGGGCGGACTCCGAGAGCGCGGCACGGACCCTGGGCTTACCTCTTTCGCCTTCTGCTTCAACCGTAACTGTTCTGGGTCTTCTTGTCTGGATCGAGACTATTTTTAAAAGAGTAGAAAAGAAAAGTAAATCGGCCGTACAACGCTTGCCATCTAGCAAGACCGCACCTGCTTCACTACAGTGACTCCCAGGCCGCACAACAGGACGCACGCCCGCAGCCGAAGGATGAAAACTGAAACTGCACATGAGGAGAAAAGGCATTACTGGTTTTTTAAAAATAATGATTTCTTTTATTTGTTATTATTTTTTTTATCTGATCAGAGAGAGAGAGAAAGTGAAAGTGTGAAAGCAAGCTGCTAGGTCCAGGACTCGAACAACAGTTGGCTATATGGGAGTCCAGCACCTTGACCATCACTCTACCTGCTGGCCCCGGTAATTAAGATATTCAGTGCCGTTCAGATGGGATGAGAATAAAAGGTCCAGTCTTCATCTATCTGCCCACTGTAGGCCTCTGACCCGAGGTACCAGGGCAAGAGCGTGCCAAGGCAGCCCTGAGAGTGCAAGGCCCAAGGACTGGCGCTGCCCCCAGTGGGGAGGGGAGGGCTGGCACCCACAGCCTGATGTTCCTGTTTTCCCACGGTCCCTTGAGAGCCACGGTGTCCGGCCTGACTCCTGCCTCACTGCTGACTGCTGGCAACCCGGCCCTAATTATTCCCCAGATGAGAGGGCAGCAGGTCTGGAAGTCACGCTGGTGGCTGGCCAGGCATGGCCTGGTGGTTAAGACAGCTAGATCCCACATGGTTGCGTGGTTTGCATCCCAGACCCAGCGACTTGAGAAACATGGCGGGCATATGTGCGTGTGTGCCGAGAATCCCAGAAAGGAGGAGAGCGGGGAAGGGACTGCAGCATGACCAGGCCCTGTGGGGGCTGCGTGCTTTCTCACCTTCCTTCCCTCCCTCCCTCTCTGGTGAGCACATGTGAACTGGCAAAAATTAAAAAACAAAAAGCAACCTTGGGCTGGTGTGTACCAGGGCTCCCACGCGCCCGCCTGCCTCACCCTGCTGTGTGACTAGACCAGGAGCCCGGGGCTGGAGTCTGGGAGGCACCGCCCCCCACCCCCGAGCATTCGCCCACACAGCGGAAACAGCAAGGCTTCTCACTGCCTCCTTCTCAAGGCCAGCCTGAAACCCTGCTTTGGCCACCCGGAAGCCCCGGGTCCAGGTGAGGCCGGGCAGGGACAGGAGTGGCGAGTCTACACGCCACAGAGGGAAGGGGAGGCAGCACTCGCCTTCGCGGCCCGCATGAGGATCTCCCGCTCCTGCTCGTCCTTCCTCTGCTTCTCAATCTGATCCAGCTGTTCGAAAAACTTGAGCTGGGCCCGGACGTCGCTAGACTGCTCGTATCTTTCGTCATCCTGCAGAGGGGAGACGCCTGTCTTCACACGCTTGCAGACCCAGCAGCAGAGGCCTGACTGGCAATGCGAGCCCGTGCACAGCGCCCAGGCCCAACCCGGCGGCCGTGGGAGACCCGACCTCTCCCCACGCAGACAACTCTGCAGCCAAGCGCGCTGCGCATTCCGTGTCAAAGGAGCCTCGGCTGGCTGCCCTGGGGCTCGTGGGACAGCGCCCACCTCACATACCAACACGGTGTTTGATCTGTAAAACATTTCAACTTTCCCCACCAACACAGGACGTCTCTGTAGCACACTGGCTAGTGTGTGGGCTTAGTGGCTGCTCCACAGTGCCCCCAGAAGGACACCCCATGACTGCTCACGAAGCCCTGCTCTGTCCTGAAAACCTCCTTCCTGAGGGCAGGGCCACACAGTCTACCGGCTTGGCTCGCGGGACAGAGGAAGAGGCCGTGCCCAGAGTGCTGGGAAGCCCAGGTCGGATACGGGCAGAAGAACCCAGGACTTCCAAAGCTGAAGCAGTCACCACCCTGGAGGTCGAGATCCCTCAGAGCCTCCTCCCTGCTCCCCACTCCCCGCCCAGGTTTACGGAGACCTGAGAACGCCGTGTCGCTAAAAGAACGGAACCCCTGTGAAGTCTCGTTCTGCGAGAACCTCCCACCCAGTTCCACAGGAGCACAGGGGCCCGTGGGGTACACGCCCTCCACCCCCTCTGCCTGGCACGGGAAGGCAGCTTCCAGACGCGCCAGCAGTGCTGATGACAGGAGACGGCTCCCGGGCGCCGCTACCTTGTAGGAGAAGTTCTTCTGCTGCGCCGTCTCGGAGATCTTCTCCACCAGGTTCTGCAGCCTCTGCTGCGTGGCATGCGACACGTAGCTCACGACATCGGGGTGCAGCTCCGTGATGCCGTGCTTTTTACCTGACAGCGGGCGACAAAGAGAGCAGCCTGAAGCCACTTCCTGCTCAGCGGATCCCACATGGCGACAGCGGCTCAGGTCCCCGGCCGGGTCAGCCTGAAACACACCAGGCCCACGCCTGAGTGCCCAGGAGGACAGGAGCAGGAGCTGAGGGCGCCCAGACCCTGCGGGGTGCTCCTCTCTCTCACAAACACACAGCGGGTCTCCGTCGCGAGTAAAGACCGGGAAGAGCAGTGAGACGCTTTTATTTCCTTCCTTTTTTTTTTTAAAGACAGATGAGAGAGAGAAAGAGAGAAAGTGAGAAAGCAAGCCACCACGTCCGGGACTCGAACCGTGGTTGGCCACGTGGGAGTGTCCAGCACCTTAACCACCACACCCCCTGCTGGCCCCTCCTTACTATTTTATTTCACACCTCGCCCACCAGCCACTGCTTCACACAAACCAAGGCCACGGCGGGGGGCGGCCCTCAGCCCCTGAGACCGTCACCAGCGACGCACAGACCACGACAGGACGAGCACGCCCACCTGATGCCACGGCCCGTCCCAGTGCCGTTCCGGGGCTCTGCCGTCTCATGGGACACTGGGATGGCGGGGCGGCCGCGGAGCCACGCTCACCTATTTCTAGTATCCGCCTCTGCAAGGGCGCCGGGAGGAGGAAGGTCTCGTCTTTGCACGAGCGTGTCAGCGTGCCCACCAGCTCGGAGTTGGTGGCCAGTATTCTTGCGCTCTCCTCTGAAAGGTTCACACCAGCCATCGACGCGACATCGTTAATGTCGTCATCGTCCCTGCGGAAAGAAGGGGCCTGAGAATGGCACACAGGGCTCGCCACGAGGGCTGAGGCGGTTTCGCTGGGTAGGCAAGAACCACGGAGGCAGGGCAGCCCCCGCACAGCCCCCTGGGCCAGCCGTCTCCAGC